ATTGAAAGTTCACAAAATATGTATTTGATGGTAGAAAACATTTATCATAAGTCAGAAATGAATTCTAATTCCATTCCCATTACACTATATACAGTCCGACCCCGGTTATTCGACAACCCTTTATTCGAATACCTGGCATTATCCGAAGTAGATCGGCGGTCCCGTTTTTATCTCTATATAAAACAATATAAATACGAGCGTATTATTCGAAATGCATTATCCGAATACCTCCTATTTTTCGAAGTAAAATTTCGAACCCGATTATACAATTATGTAAGAATTTCACACCTATTATTCGAAGCCAGCCTAATTACAATTATTATTCGAAGCTAGACTAATTGGCGCAGATTCATTTGCTTAGCAGTCGACTTGTGAAAAATATCAACAGTCATGCGTGTATTTAGACAATCATGATAATAAATCTTTGTGTGTTCTTTAATCAACTTTAATTTTCAAAAATGAAAAGCTATGCACCGTGTCCGATTTTGTTATGGTATTGCTTCAAGATGACAGCAATAATTTTTATACATATCGTAAATATGAATTTGTCAAAACATCCAATACATTTTTTTTCATTAATTGTATTGCTACATGAGAGCCTTTATCCTAATCGAAAATACCAGAGTTTAGCTGTAAATACCGCAGTGACATCACGGCCATTATCAAGGCTTTGCGCGAAACGAAACAATACATAATGTGGAATAAAATGCAAGCATTTATGTCTTCAATGTCAATACAATAATTTTTACACATCTTTTTTTAATTATTATTTTTTTCTCAATTGATTACAGGAAGTAAGTGTGTTTGCTATAATTAGTCAAAGTGGAGTAGTTTTCGTCTATCACAATATTCCGATTTCGATTATTCGAACCCATCGATTATTCGAAGTAAATATTCAGTCCCAGGCACTTCGAATAAACGGGGTTGGACTGTACTAATATATAGACAAGGGTAACAATTCCCATAAGGTGTCTATGCCCAGTCAGGGATTTTGCCTCACAGTTTTTTTACACGATACAGCATGAATAAAAAGGAATTATGCAATTTGTAGTGGAATGATTTATCTATCAAAGCAATGTAAAACTTTTCTTATATCTCTTATACTTAACGAGTACTGGCCGTCAAAGTAACAAAAAACTGTTCATTTTCGCGAGGTCGACATCGATCTTGGCTACGCAGGAAACACAAAGTTACACAACATTTGCAATTGTTAGAGATAATATCACAAGCATTTATCATGTTGGGCAATTAAAAAATACATAAAAGTAATCAAAATATACCAATAACCTATAATGACAATGTGATATAAACTCACCTGCGGCTTCAAAATATTTCCCCATTGAAATTTCTATAAAAACATGGCCATCTTGACGAATATAAACAACCGTCATCTGATTGGTCCTTTTTTTTTTAATTTACACTATCCCAACACTGTGCTGGGTCCCTTTGTGTAAAACTAGAGAAAAAACTGCTAAATTCAAGATTTTTAAAATTTCCAACTTTCACCCATGATAATATGAAAAAGGCAAAGCCTCAAAGCGAGCTCAATTTACTTTGACCGTGTCGTGAACAGGCTTGTGAAAATGCCAGATCGGGCTTATGACATAAAAAATCATATTTCTAGAAAAATTATATAAAGATTGACCATTATTATATGTCATAAACAGAGAGAAAAATATTTGGTTACTTTCACTGTTGTGAGAATTATTTCCCCTTTTTCATGTTTATATCTCACATAATTTTTTTAAGTCCTTAAAAAATATGTTGCAATGTAAATTTTCTTAGCTATAAATAATGTGTCCAACATCTTCATTTTGCTCAAAATTATTGCACCAGTACCTTTATTCTATATGAGGCGTAACATTTTGACAGTAGGAAAAGAACGACAGTTAAGTAATAGAAAGGAAAAGAACGACAGTTAAGTAATAGAAAGAGCATCGAAACACAAGGCTGTCTAATTTGTACGAGGGGGCGTAATAAGATTGCGGAGTGTTGTCACAATATGAAACCCCAGAAAAAAGTAACCAATGAACAAGCATCTGAATATGATATTTCTAACGCTTTCCCTTTCTCTACCGTCACAATAAGTAAACCCCAGCAACAATGAGCCAATCAATGGGCATGCTCTGGAGTGCGGGTAACTAATACCTGCACTCCAGTTAACGCACTGTGCATGTATATGTATAAGGTTTAACCCGACATATTTTCAACAGAAAGGTCCCCAAACTATGATACAAGTGGGTCAAACTCTTCACGCTTAATTAATTCTAAAGGCCAAATTATATACAATACCCATACATATCAGTGATTTCAAAAATAGACAATTGGCAATTCCTAACATGCGATAAAATCTAATTATGATACTTTAAATAAAACTGAACATTAGAATTGCAAAAAGCATTTCAAACATTTTTAAAAGGCTTAGTTGGAACTTTTGCTCAGTAAAATCACCCAAAATATAATAATGTTACAACTTTTTACACACAATTTAAGTGACTTACACACAACATTCTTGCATCAGTAAACATTTAAAAAAAATTGGTTTGACAGCCATTTTAATATGCCACATTGTCTGCTGCACAGTAAATGGGACATTTTTTCAAAAATACATGTATTGATGTGATGCAGGCTTTTTCAGAAAATATATTGCCTTTATAATAACTTGTTTATGTTTTTACAAAGAACTTACTGTAAAGCAAATGTGCCCAAAAGATTTTTAAGATAGCATAACCCAATATATAGATACAGACATTTTTATACCCTAAAATTGCCCAACTTTACTGTTTTTGTGTTTAGAATTAACACCACTGTTATCTGTTTTAATTTATCACTTAAATTTTTTTACATGCACATAGAAAATTTAATTACCTGTCCGGTGATTATTACTGATATATTACACTTGGTGTATGTTATTTTAAGTTGTAACAATAATTTTTTAAAGTTTATGAGGCATTGATATTAAATCTAACTAGTATACAGTAAAGACTGTCTTAGCGACCCCCTGTATATAGCGACGTTCTGTCTATAGTGACCATAGTTAGGTGCACCGAACAGTATTTACTATATAAATGGTCTGTGTGTAGCGACTCCCTGTCTAGTCCGTACAACGACCATGATTTAGTCACCCGTTACGGTATTTGAGCCATGAACAGCGACTTTTGCAAGGGAAACCAGGCTTGAACTAGGTGACAACTTTGGCGAAGAAGTCGCCTTCGGATCATCGACTTTGCCTAAAACAAACTTCAAAGAGATTTTGAAGTCGCCCGATTTTTATAATTTTCCGTCATACTTATTTACGCCGTTAGGTCTTTTAATAATTTGTTTACCTCTCAATTACAACCAATTACCGTTAATCCGCTAATTAAGAACGAGTGTTAACATCAACAAAGTTCCATACACGCGGCAAGGCAAGAGTTCACTATGTTTATCTTTCTCAATACGTATTCATGCGATTGACGAATCAGAACGCGCGTTGTATCTACGGCAGTTTGCATTGACCAATCGGCAACATGCTAATACACTGTGGCTGTTTGTTGACAATTACACAAAAGGGCGACAGATTCAATCAATTTTCGCCGATAATATGATTAAAGACACCTGCATATACATAATTGCTGCGGTGTTTTGGCGAGTAAAGATAAACTATGCCAAACGTCTTAAAGGTGTGGTTATGTTTGAAACCTCGATTGTTAATTTTTTTCGGAGCACTTATCTGTAGAAATTATGTGAAGATTTGCATCTAATGTTCAGGGCTACAGATAACATTTTGTGTATATTGGGTAATTACTCCTTATTTTGTGATCTATTGGGTTTTTTCTATTTTCTTTGAGTTATTTCTGTATTTTTTACCCTACCCCCTCTAACCAATTTGGGTTATAAAGTACAAGTTCATGCATTTTACCCAAAATTTTTGACCTTCATTGTAGACATTTGTAGGTTTTGTACGGTAATAAAAAAGCTACTTACAACTTTGCTTTATGGTTTATTGGCCTAGGAGATTTCCAAGTTGCCTTATATAATTTAAAGGTTAAAACTGTCTGAAACAGTATGATCTGCCTGATGTATGCGTTAAGTAATAATTTTCGTCATTACGCACCAGTTCAAATGTAGTATGACTGTATGTATAAATAAGAATTCATTTACTTTTTCTTACCCTTAGTTATTATTTCTATTGGGTTTTTAGACATTTTAATTGGGTAATAACGCAAATACGCATGTTATCTGCAGCCCTGAATGTTTTATTAATACATTGAACTCCGTAAAGTAAACAGGCGGATTATGCAAAATTAAATGTCTCTACAGTAACATCTCATTAGTATAATTGAAATAAAACATTTTTTACAAACAGATTTATCAATATAAATTACATTTTATTGAATATGTAACTTTTAAATACTTATGTTATGGTGTAGTTTATAGTCTTAACCAATTATACATGCAATTTTAATACTCTCTTGTTTTTTATAAATGATATTTGATATGTTTAATATCAATAAAAATATAATTAAACCCTTAGTCCTGCTTTTCAACAAAATATTGGTATGATATGTACATATATCTGAATTATATAGAGACTGTCCACAGTGACTCCCTGTCTATAATGATTTTTTTTCTTTTCTCCCATCGAAGGTCACTGTAAACAGTCTTTACTGTACATGATACTGATATGTTGGAAAGGCAAATCTGTGTATGCCATAAGTTAACTCTTTCAAAGGTACATTGAATATATGCAAGTATTCCCAATCAATACAGAAATGTTACTTTAACTTGTTTCTACAAAAGAATAAACCCTTAACCAACTGGCTAAAACTGATACTACCTATGAGACCATTTCACTTCTGTGCGGACTGATCATGGTTTTCACTGTTTGCTATTTAATTATTGTTGAGTTTCCCTTAATATTAAAAAAAATGGTTTTGCCAAGACTGTACCAGTTAAATGCACAAGTCCATACAATATTATTCAGGTTGGTAAGGGTTTTAGTATAACTTTCAAGTAACTTTCATTCTTTAATCTTTCAGGTAGAAGTGATAACATTGTTGGAAATATGACAACCACAGCAAGCGAGATTACCGTGCAGAACCAGACCAGCGTTCATGATGTTGAGGCATTGGTTCAAGCCGCTGTCAGTGTGCTCACAAATGACATGCAGGTAAAGAATTAATAAGTACAGACATATTGATATTTTATTGGTGATTATACTAAATTTATTGAACTTGTTGAAGTCTGGCATAATATGATTTTAAACCTACACTCATTCAATATTCTCTGTATCACATATTTATATATTTGTGAATAATTTTGTTTATTTTGTTCATTAAGTACAGACATTCCGAAAAAACCTAAGTACAGACATTCCGACAAGTGCCGGTCCAACTGACCTGGCCGTTAAAATTCCGTTCGTATGGGGGTGAATTCTGTTCGAGCCGGTCCGACTATCCGGTACAACCTTAAGATTTTACATTCAACTTTAACATAAACGATCTTCAAGATAATATTTAGAATAAAAATGAACAAAGTAATTATCAGTATTACGTATTCAAAATAAATAATTTTCATAAATTTGCCGTTACGAAGTAATCAGGATAAAATCATAAAAAATTTAGTTGTAATATACCTATTACGGTTCAGCACATGAAAAAATACTTACTTCCGGTTGGAAATTATTAGTTTTTCACTACTTCAAGAAATGGGTCCAGGGAAAACTGATTTGGTCCAGTGATTCGGACAGTATGACCGAATGTCCAGTACTGTCAAAATACTTTTCGGAATGTCTGTAAGTGGCGGCGTGGCTGAGAAGTTAGCATGTCAGACTAGTAAACCAATGATTGCTGACTGTGTGGATTCAAACCCTGCCATGAGCAAGCAGTTGTTTCCTTGAGCAGAAACTTTACATTAATTGCTTTGTACCAGTTGGTATCAGAAACAGATTTCAGAGTGTTTCAATAGCTTATAGCTTCCAACACAATCAAACTAAAGTAAATTTGTATAAACTAAACCACCTTACTGACTAGATCTTGACTAGCACAAACAAAATTATGGGACTGCTCAGACAGTCCCGACTAAATGAATAAAATATCTTATCTCTCATTAAATGATATTTTTAGATTGCCACACATGACCATGGTCATGTTGTACAAGATGCAGAACATGGCACTGTACAACTACTTGTTGACACATGTACCAGTAACAACATCCAGGAGAGACTGTACATGTGCACTGACTGTAACCTAGCATTTTATGGGGAGCAGGGTGAACAGGAATGGCACTGGCACCTTAAACAACATAAACCATTCAAATGTGACCTTTGTTCGGAAGCTTATGAAGATCGAGGTAAGAAATATGTTCAGTATTTGATTCATTTTCTAAGTTTTTATTAGTATTTTTGTGCCTTTGACCACAGATATGTAAGGAAATTGTAAGGTTAGAAATAGGATAAAATGCTAGGAATTAAAATTTTATGTGCAACATAATGATAAATATTTGAAGTTTAATGATACAAATTATAGTAATTGTAAAATTGATGTGGGAGATTTATCAAGCTTTTACACATTGTCTTTCAGTGATGACCTTCTTGTCTCTTATATTCTATTGTTAAACTGATGATCTGATGTTATAAACAAAAGTAAACATTTTGTGATCGAAACAAATGTAGGATTGACTTGATTTTCTTTCACGTTAAAAAAAAATATATTGAAATTCTATTGTTAGAATCCCTGAAAACCCATGTACGAACTCACTCGATACAGATGCCATTTGTATGTGACAAGTGTGGTTCAGCATACAGTCTGAAGAACAATCTCACCCAGCATATGAAGACACACGAGGATAAATTATACCAGTGCGGGGAATGTGATGTTCTCTTTAAGTAAGTTTATGACACCAGTGTTTTGGAAGATCGGCAACAAAAATCTCATTTATAAGTACATGTATATTGTCTTTTTTTCTCCAAATTTTTCAATAAGAATTCTTAATTGAATCATTTATGCTAAAGGTTAACTTATTTTTGTTGTAAATTTTGTGAATTATTTTTTTGCTCATCTGAGCAATGCTCAGGGTGAGCTATTGTGATGGCCCTGTGTCTGTCGTGCGTCATCAACTTTTGAACATTAACAAAATCTCCTCTGAAACCAATGACTGCACATCAACCAAACTTAATAGAAATGATCCTTGGGTGGTCCCCTTTCAAAGTTGTTCAAATGGTTCCGGTCTGTTGCATATGTAGGTCATAGGGCCAGAAAAGGATTTCAAAAAACACAAAATTAAAAAAATCTTCTTGTCTGAAAGTACATGGGCCAGAGCTTTGATTTTTAGTATATGGTATCATCTATGGGTCCTCAGGGCTCGAGCTAGTGGGAGATTCGGGCGAAATAATCAACGTGAAATGTCATTAATCCGTTTGTTTACCAACATGTCATAAAAGTCTAATTAACAGACACTCGAGGAACAATTAGACTCCGCCCACGGCGAGATTACCGATATGTGCGAGAAACCAATCGTAATTCACGTTTTAATCGAGGCGACATTATTAAACCAATCATTACATCGCTAACATACAACTACCCGTAACAATTATTTATGATGGACGGATCAAACGTCAACTAAATTTTCACTATCGAATGATTGTCAGAATTAAGAGGACCGCTCGACATATAACTGTAACGGTAATTTTAAATGAAAGTTATGATAACCTTTTTTGTCGACGAGTTAAATTAAATAAAATTGACGGCGTATTACACTGTATTTATTACAAATGAAGTTAAATTAAAGATCCTTTCTTTCGTTATCTACTTTCATTTTCTTTACAACATAAGTGTATATGAATAGTAAATCAGAAGGGAATAACTGTTAATCCACCCATGATATGATCCATGATAGGAATCAACTATGGCTTTTTTATCTTCATTTAATGCAATGGTTGCATTACATGATACTCATTCTTATTACTTGTTTCAAACTACTTTTAAATTAAAATTGAATATTCTGTTGTAACACAAATCCAATTCATTTAATAAGATATGTACAGTGAGTCAACATAATTGCGATAACATACAACAAACATCGATAAATGAATCTCCTCTCTTCTCCCTAAAGTCTCCCCACTTCTCCCTAAAGCAGCTGGAGGGAGAAGTGACTTCTCCCTAAATTTTGAACCTAGCTTGAGCCCTGGTCCTCTACCAAAGTTGTTCAAATTTTGTCCCTATTGTCAAAATTGGCCCCACCTTGAGGGGGTCATAGGTTTTTCCTTATATGTATATAGTTAAATCTAAAAAAATCTTCTTCTCTGATTTGGCAAAGGCTACAGATTAGATATTTGGCATGAAACATTTTGTAGTAGACCTCTATCAAGATTGTTCAAATAATGGCCCTAGGGTCAAAATTGGCCCCGCCCCGGGGGGTCATTGATTTTCATTACATACATATATAGTGAAAACTTGAAAAATCTTCTGGTCTGAAAGTAAATGCCCTAGAGCTTTGATATTTGGTCTATGGTATCATCTGAAGGTCCAATACAAAGGTTGTACAAATTTTGTCCCTAGTGTCAAAATTGGCCCCACCACGGGGGTCATAGGTTTTTCTAATATGTATATAGTAAAACATAAAAAAATCTTCTTCTCTGAATTGGCAAAGGCTACAGGTAAGATATTTGGCATGAAACATTGTGTGGTAGACCTCTACCAAGATTGTTCAAATAATGGCCCTCGGGTCAAAATTGGCCCCGCCCCGGGGGTCATTGATTTTCCCTATATGCATATAGTAAAAACTTAAAAAATCTTCTTTTAAAGAACCCAAAGAGCTAGGGCTAAGATATTTAGCATGAAACATCTTCTAATGAGTGTCTACCAACTTTGTTCAAATAAAAGCCCTGGGGTCAAAATTGGTCACGCCCAAGGGGGTTATTGTTTGTTTGTTTGTTTCATTTTACGCCTTTTTCCAACAGTATTTCAGTCATATAGGCGGGTAGTTTCCTAACCATCGTTCCTGGAGAGTTACACCAGTACTAGACTACCTTCCTCCGCGCTAAACTACCAAAGCATCTCCCGGGGATCGAACCCACGCCAGAGAGGTAACTGGATTAGAAGTCATTGACTCTAACCCCTCGACCACGGAGGCGGTTTAAGGGGGTTATTGATTTTCCCTATATGTATATAGTAAAAACTTATAAAATCTTCCTTTAAGGAACCCAAAGAGCTAGAGCTAAGATATTTAGCATGAAACACCTTCTAATGAGTGTCTATCAAGTTTGTTCAAATAAAAGCCCTGGGGTCAAAATTGGTCCCGCCCCAGGGGGTCATTGATTTTCCCTATATCACACAAAATAGCAGCCTAAAGAATTGGAATGTTTTATTCAATATTCATACATGTATAAACTCAGACATTTTACATCACACTTCTTTTGAGAATCAACCATAATGTTATGGTTAAAAAAATTTACTGAGGAACTTGTTTCGTTACATTTAGCTTCAAATCCTTTAAATAACTGCAATTACACAAAACTGTCAATAGATAACCTTGCAAATTTTTGGCTGGAAAGGTCAAGGACATTCTGACTTCTTTATTTAGTAAGGAAATATGAAGTTTACTATCAAACAGTGAGAAAAGTGGAGAGTGGTGCTCTTCAGATAGTCCTAGATGTGTTTTGATACTGAAATATTTTAAACTTTTGTATGGATTTTCCTAATTCAAAAGTGGGCAAAATCATTTCAAAACCTCTGCAGGTTGAGAAAAATATTTTATATTTATAAAGTGTATTGTGAATATTTCAGGTCACAGGTGAACTTGGAGAAACACCTAAGACTTCATACAGGCGCTGTCACTGTGTTCACCTGTGAGACTTGTAATAAGAAATTCTCCCATCAGAAGAACCTTGTTCAGCATATGAAAATTCATCAGGGAAATAGTGGCAAACAGTTTAAATGTCCAGAATGTCCTGCCGCCTATAGTTACAAGTGCCATCTGTCCAGGCATCTTATTATACACACAGGTTTGTTAGCTGTTTTCATGGTTCAGTATCGCAGTTTGTTTGACTTCCGTTTGTAAGTGGATGGACAATCTGTACACACCATCTTTTTAGCATATGATTGATAAAAATAATAATATATCACAGAAACGTCACTCAAAGAAATCGACACACCACAGCTGGGACTCAAATCATGGTTCTCTGGATTGACTTGTATGCTAACCACTACACCACAGCGGCCGTTTCATTTTCTTTGTGCTAATTGACCTTACATATTTAAGTTATCAAGCTAATGGAAAAATTACTCTACTTAATTCCAAACATTAAGAACAAAAGTATTTTTATTATTCCTGATTGTTTTTGTTGGAGCATTTTTAGCAGATTTTCTTACACTCATTATATGTTTTTTTTTTCTACAGAAAATTGCCATTAAAATTGTTAAATACATGATTTTCAGAATCTTCAAATATTGAACTTTGAAGCATATATTTACTTTATATGTACAATGGTGCATAGAGTCATCGTACAGTTAAGCATACACCATTAATATTCATTGAATATTAGAAACCTAAGGACAATTATTTTAAAACACAATTTATTGTACAAAGTTCTTCACTGTTTGTCTCATGTATATCTGTAAAAAAAAGAAGATAAAACTCAATGCTTGTAGAAAAAGTACCAGTCTTTGTGATTTTAATTATGTTACATAATTTTATTAAATAATTAATAATTTTATCGACAAAGAAATGTTGTGTATCTCCATTTGAAGTCATGAGATATTCTCATGACAACACTAAAATCTTTGAATAAAGATGTCACTGTAAATAATAAATCTGTATTTTATAATTGACAGTAATGATTTTGATAAAAGCTTAAAGTAGTTATCTGATTGTTTGCAAGATGTGGCCACTGTCAGTAAAACTTAAATACAACTATTATTTTGTGTAATGACTATAATATACTTATTTATAGTAGTGACTTCAGATTGTGTCTTTATCAAATAAATGAATAATTTATATCTGTTTTTTTTTTAAGCATTTGTGTTTAAAGTAAATAATTTGAAGTTTATAAATATTTTTTATTACAGGAGAAAAACCTTACAAATGTAAGTTCTGTGGAAAGGCTTTTAATCGGAATGCTCATCTGATACGTCACAGAAAGATGCACAGTGGTGGTGAAAAAGAATGGAAATGTGAACATTGTGGCTTTGCTTTCTGGGAAAAGGGTGACCTTGTACGACACATAAAATCACACGAAGGAAACCGACCTCTAAAATGTGATTATTGTGAGCAGACATTCGTATGGAAGCGTTACCTATTGAAGCACTTAAACAATTATCACAAGGCAGATGACAAACATTTCTGTAAGACTTGTCTTGAATGCTTGCCCACGGAGGAGGATCTGGTGGAACACGAGGCTACCAATCATGCTAATAAGAGAGCACTGACTCATAAGTGTGAAATATGTGAGATGGAGTTTCATTTTAAATATAAATTAGATGAGCATATGTACCAGCATACAGGTGAGAAAGCTCATGCTTGCGAGAAATGTCCGGAGAGATTTATTTCCAGAAAAGATCTGGACAGACACATGATTGATCATCAACAAGAGGTGTCGTTTCGTTGTAACACTTGCGAGAAGACTTTTTCTACAATAGATGAGCTACAGTCTCATGTCAAGTTGCACACAGGTAACGCCAAATATTCCTGCTCGCTCTGTCATGCCTCGTTTCGATGGAAGAGTCAACTGACTAGTCACATGGTCGTTCATTCTGCCGATCGTGACTTCAAATGCACATTCTGTGCGCGTAAATTTAAGCGCAAGCGGGACCTGATTCGGCATGTTAAGATTTATCATGATACCAAGCCGCCATACACTTGCACTGAGTGTAACAAAGATTTACACTCTCCTTATAACCTGATGTTGCATAAAACTGAAACGCACTGGAAAGAGACAGATATTGAACCAGGCAAATTTCCTTGTATCAATTGTACTGGGGTTTTTGGGCTTCAATCTGATCTTCAGAGGCATTTAGAAAAGGTTCATCCTCCCAGGCCTAACATTTGCATTTTGTGTATGAAACGATTCACTCTTTTCAAATTTTTACAAAAACATTTTGAGACTAAGCATGAAGGTGTAGAAATGGAAGAAGGTAGTAATTATGAAATCAAAGAAGAACCAAAAGTAGAAGAAACAACTGTAACGGAAATTGAAAATGGTGAAAGTGCTGATATAAGGGGTCTAGAAATGGATGTTGACAATATTGACAATAACCAAGATTATCAAATAATAGAAAATGACATTGAAGAACATGATGACAACCTAGAAAGTATTGCTAACAAATCTGAAGGGGAATCACAGAACATGATTACAATAGAAGGTATGGGCCAACCTGTTGATGAAGACTATCAGGCTGAAACTGTTGCTACCTCAAATGCAACTGAAATGGCTGTTCCTATACCAGAGGCTATTACTCTAGCCCAGTTTTCTCAACAAGCTTCTAGTGATGATATTATTCCAGTATTTTTACAAGAAAGTCAAAACATGGACCAGCAACCTGCACAAGTTTTGCAGGAGATGTCGGCAGTTCCAGTTTCCGCAGTATCTACAATGGCTCCAAATTTTAAGAATATTGTCAAGGTAATCCAACCTCAGGTAGTTTCCCTGTCGCAGGAAGAGGTAACATCAATGGCTAATTCACAAATGGTGACAGTTGAGACACCGCAGGTTGTTTCCATGACTCAGCCGAGAATTGTGAGCTTACAGCATCCTGCTACCAATCCGGCACCTCATGTAGTCACCATACCACAGCCTGCAGGTGCTACCAATCAAGGACAACAACAACCTCAAGGTATTGCCCGTTCAGCCGCTCATGTTGTCACAATACCTCAACCTCTGTTGACCTCTATACCTCAACCGCAGATTGTTAAAATCCATCCTCCTCAAAATACAACATCTCTAGCAACCTCACAGCAAACTGTAACACTTGGTCAAAGAAAGCTAGCTGCCAATACAACTGTGAAAATTCCTTTGATAAATAAAAATCAGCGACAAACTAGTGGTGGTCATATTGTGGTACAGCAAAGTAAAGGACCCAATAAACAGATAAAAATTATATCCATGGACTATAACCCTCAACAAATACAGACAGTGCCACTAGCACAGTTCCAGACTATACCAG